TCTCGTTCTATCTCTCGACAAGCTGGTATCGGCGTTGTATTTTCTATTGTCGCAATTGCCAAGCACTAAAGAACTTTATTGGCTGATCCTGCGAAGCGTGTCGCGCTAAAGCTTCGAAAGACCAGCAGCTCTCTCCCTTAAGTGTACAAGTGATTTATGATTTGTAACGCTCCGGCACTTCGTGCGCGAACGAGTGAGGCGAAAAGAAAGATTCGGGATAATGGGCTTTAGCTTGAAAGAGGTCAAAGCTAGCTCCGCGGTTGAAGCTACACTTGCAAACTTGGTGTGTATGTGTGCCTCGATCATTCATTAACTTGGAAAAATCCTCACAAAAAATAATAAAGGAAGAAGCTTACACGTTAATAATTCACATTGGTACAGAGATTGGAAAAGTGGGTCGATAGTCTCTATTGAGGGGTGCAACGGTATGAATGCAGTAAAACGCCGACGAAAACACATACGCCACTTGGCAGCTATTGTCCTTATCTCGACAGTCTGCAAGAAAATGAAAAGCTCGAGAGAGAAAGAGAAAGCTACGGAAATAGATGGTTTAACAGATAAGTGTGCTTCCAGAAAGAGAGAAACTGTCTCGACGCTCTAGGAAAGAAAAAGATAGAACGTGCGCGAAGTGGCGCGCTTTTGCTCTTCGAGAGGCTACCGCTATTGCAGAATGGAACCAATACCAGCTCGGCTCGAAGCCTGATTTCCAAACTCAAAGCCTTTCAATTTTTTTCTTTATTTTCCTGCTTCAAAGGCTCTCAACGTAGCTCCTCTGACTAATTATGCCACTGTTTTCTTTGTTTACTGGTTCAATCTTTCTCTGTTTCTCCGTTTAGATAAAACTTAATTAGATGTCCATCAACTTCAAGGAGATCCTGTTGACGTGATGTGGAATGTTGATAACGAATTTAATTATTTCGTTATATTGCAGATTTTTCCCGACACAGTTTTCAGAGATTCCAGTCGCGATTAATTTGTGCTGAACTACGGGTGCAAATGAATATTTTAATTTCGAAAGTTTGCTCATACAACTTGTAACGCGTAAAAGTTGTACGTATATACGGATTTTAACATACGTACACACACATTCAAATTGAGTTTTCAAACTAAACCAGCTAGATTTTTGTGTAAATCTCAAATTAAAATCTTTTTTTCTATTATAACTTCTTTCAAGGCACTCTCGATAAAAGTTCTCCGACGAAAGTGCGTGCGCGCGCGTGTGTATGTGATAGAGAAAAAAGCAAATTGAGAAAAATATTTTTGCAGAAAAGAAAAATACACTATGTCTCTTTACACACACGTCGACGACATTTTCTTTTTTGTGAATTACATGACTTGCGGCTTGAATCGCGCTAGCAAAAATACGGCGGAAATACATGCATCGATATTTTCTACTCTATACAAAAGAAAAAAAAGAAACAGAAAAGCGAAGGCACGTACGCACACGCTATTTCCCCGTTATTTTTCCAAATATTAATCTAGTTTGCATTATGCTTACTTTGCATAATGCCAAAGTTATCTTTCGAAAAAGAGGAGCGCAGTCGTGCCGCCAAAGTCAAGCTTTCGAAAATGAAGTTCGTTCGAGGTACGCCTTTGTTGCGTCACCTTATGCGGATATGGGAAACAATTCGTTGAAAGTTTCGCTGACAAAAAAAAGTGAGAAGGATTCGCGAGCGCGTGTATGTACGCCTATATATACGGGGGTACAACGGTTTTCGTCGACAAATTGTGAGCTCGTGGCCTCGATTTGTCTCTTTTCTACTCGTATAGCTGCTTTCTCTCTCTCTCTCTCTTTCTCTCTCTCGCTCTCTTGCTCTCTCGTCTGTCGGGTGGCAAGTATACGATGAAATAACTCGATTAGTCAAGCCGGTGAAAGAGCGAGGAATTTTTGGAATTCGCGAAAATTACCCGTCAAAGCTGCCACCCCAACTCCTCCTCGAAAAAGGAAAAAAAGAAAATGTATTATCTTTATTTAGCTTTATGAAATATCACAGGCTATTACGCTACGTAAAGCCCCGCGCCCCGTTCGTTATTCCTTTAATTATTTTCGCATCGCGCGCGAATTTTCCCCGGGGCATCTGGTTATATGCCCCTTTTCTCATTAGTAGCCGTGTATTTCTTTTTTTCTCGCCGGCTATAATTTCTTTCGTAACAAATTTTTAATGCCGTTACACAACACCGCCGTCATTCGCTATGAATTATCGGCGAGCACCAAGTTGCGAGACACAATGATTGAAATGCCTGGGATCCGTGCTACGGGTTAACGTATTTACAGTCTTCTGTATCCCGCAAGGCGCTTGAAAAGTTTATATTAATCAATACTTATGCAGAGCCTGGCGGCTTCTGCCAGCGCAAGTTTCGAGATAGAGAAGCCGCAGTACACCCTTCGATACTCGAGATTCGTGTAATTGGTTTACTGTTTCTCCTAACAAACTCGCGAGTTCCCGATGACATACTTTCAATAAAAAAGAAATTTGACTTGCGTAATTTCTCTGTACGCCTTGAAAAAGTAAGATTCAATGAAATTCCAATAAATGAAAGACAGAGAGGGGGGGGGGGTGATATACAAATTGAAATAACTCGCAATTGCAACGATTTCAACGCACAGGTTTTAAGCTCGAAAATCGTCTCAAAGGCAACTGTTCAAGGTTCCCTTTGAACGACACTACATATAAGGCAAGAGACAGTGGCAGTGTACGTTCAATTGGCATTGCTGGTTCATCAGCACAAGCCTAGAGGAGGCCGCTTACACTTGCCAGTCATTCAAAGGAATAACTGAGACAGACAACTAATCGTCTCAAACATCGCCGATGAATATGCAAACGCAGGAGTCCCGCTGGTGCATTGATACGGTCAAAGGGGAACGGGACTGTGCCGCGGCGTAATTCGACGAGCTAAAGCGCGCTCACTCTCGCGGGCCAATCTGCTGGCAAAGCCGCTTAGGACGTTCTAATGAACATTCCCCGGACAAAAGCTTCCTATGCTCGATATATAACACTGACCGACTGCGTGCTGATGCTGTTGTTGTTGTTGTTGTTGTTAGCGTTGATACTTTGCAGGGCCATTTGTATCTCGTGACAATGACGTTGACGATAACATCGTCCAATCAACCAATCGCTTAATGTGATGTAGCTGTTTTTCTTTTGAAACAATTAATTTTATGATTACTTTTTCAACGATGAATTTCAATATTTATATTTAAAGAAAAAGGAACGCACGACTACACTACGATCGTTTGAGTTTACGTACTCTCAACCAAATTTACCATGCAACGGCGGACAAATATTTTTCGAAGCACACCAGCAGAGTAATTTTGGCTGTGTACTGATGCATATAAATACGTAATAGTCGTGTGTTTGGCAAAGCAAGTTTTCGTCATGCACGACGAAAACTTGCTAATATTCCAAGTGTTAATATATCTTCGATGTGTAAATGCTAATCAGCAAATATTATGCGAAAGCCGTACGTGAAAATTCATTTAGTTAGTATAACTCTCGGTCCGTTTAAAATAATCTAACCTGATTGTCCTCTCTTGGTAAAGTATGATAATGTGAAGTAAATGAAAGAATCCCTGCATAGTAAAGAAATTCTACCGGTTATATGTATATAGTAACCAAACCACTTACTATGTCTATCCGTTTCTTTTTTAACCTTTCCAATTGGCCAAAGTTCAACAAATCAGCGCAAAGGCGAACAACTGTTTCGCGCTTCATTTAATCAAAGACGAGAGAGAGAGACAGAGAGAGAGAGAGGAAGCGGATATTCCACCTCTCTCTCTCTCTCACTCTCTCTCTTTGAGGGAGAGAGGGAGCTTGGAATTCCGGTAATTTCCACTCGGCGAATATTCATGAGAGCAGGCTTGTGCGCAAGCGCTTTGCTACCGGGCAAATCTATGCAGATGAGAAAGGAAGCTCTGTGATGCGACTGCTACCACCGTAGCAACATCCACGCTTCAATTAACCCAAGTGCATGCGAGTTGTCGTTCGCTACTGCTTGGCTTACTATGTGACGAGCTCCGTGCATGTGCGTGCGCGCAGGTCCTGAATTATTCAAAAAAACATTTCAATGCGTTCGCACTATTGTACATAGAAGCTTGTGTACCCGTTTGACCGATGAGGCGAGACGCCGGTGTGCTACCTCTCTTTTTTTCTTTCGACCTTTGCATGCCAGCCTGATTTCCCGCGTTGATTATTATTTTTCGAGGCTCTTTGACATACCTACGTCGAAAATTTTCGGGGAGAAAGTTCTACTTTTTTTGTCTTTCGCCGGGTGCACGACGCGTACTGAACTTTCAGTGTGTTATCTAATAATTTCCCTCTGATTTTTTTTATCATTCGACTTGTTAGGCTCTTCGTTTTTCTGCACGGCTGATTATTCTCCATAGAACATGAAAATTGAAATAACAATGAGCTTGCAAGATCCAGATTACAAAATTGTTTTCTATTATTTATATGCTACAAGAGCTTACTCATTCGCGGAAACGATTTATTGCGATGGGAGAATAAACGTAATGTGCAGATTTGGCTTATGCAAGACTGAAATAATAATACATGGATATTGCTATTGCTAAATAGAATATCATGCAAATTATTATTCAAATCGAAATTTCGAATATACACAAATATGCGTAACTATGATTTGAATGAGTCATAACTCGAATCAATCAACATAATTGTTGCGCAGTAAACAAGGTAAAATGACACTATAATGATCGACAAAATATTACAATATGACCTTAATAGTTATACGATTTGGATAAGATCGCCATACGTATGTCGATTTATGTACAGTTGATAAAACGATTACTTAATTATGACTACTTCCATTATGTGATTTAGTCACGAAGTTTTAGATGATTTATATCATTTACAAACAATGAATACATCAGTTATTCGCTGATAATTCATCTATAATTCCTATATTATTATGCAATTTTCTATTTTATTATTCGCTGCAGAAATTAAAATAAATCTGGACATTTTGTTTGTGCATATGTGCAGGTCCACCAATGGTCCATCCTAAAACACAGACGATGACAACGAACGAGGGCGACACGCTCGACGTGATCGTCGAATTTTGCGCGGAGCCCAACTACACAAAAGTCATCTGGATGTCCGAGGAAAGGGTGTACGTGCCAGGCGGAGAATCACGCGACGGTGTCAGAGCTCTCTCAATCGAGGTCAGTTTCTCCGGATTTCGGCTAAAGTCGACAATTTCAAATTTCTTTTTTTCCAGCTGAATCAGATATTGTTTTTTATTTTTATCTCTTCATTAATACGAAAGTGATAAATTCAACGGATTTTATATCACGAATCATATCCCCCAATCTACTACTCGCGCTAGTAAAAGGATTTCCATTACCTCGCGGGATTGTCTATCATAAAATTCATATCTCAAGTTTAAAGAGAACATCTCTCTTGAGCATTAAATACAAAATGACGGTAACTTATTATTTCAATCGATTTATTTCCAAACGCAAAAAAAGAAACGTGTTGGAATCATCGTCCTTCTTTCCTTCCGGACAACAAGCTTCTCTCTCGCACGCGATCAATTGTAAAATCCTTCAAGCGCGAGGATTTCAATAAGACGAGGGAGGAGAGGGAGGAAGAAAAGAGAAAGAGAAAGAGAGAGAGAGAGAGAGAGGAGCTCGTCGCGCATCACTGGGCATTGTAATCGTTGAAAAATGAAGCGGGAGAGAGAGGAAATAAAAGTGTGCCGCGAGGGAGAAAAAGAGAAAGAAAAAAAGGGGAAATCGATCTGCGGAAACGATATTTTATCTTCGCGCACAACCAAGTCACAGTTTGTCGCTCCATTGAACTCATCCGCGTGTTCGTGTCGCCATTGCGTTTCTACTACCTTCTTGCCAATTCGGCGGCGAGCGAGAAACTTTGAGCTGTGGATGGCGCTATGACACTAGGCGACTTAATTGCCTACCCGACAATGACTATACTCGTCTGTTAAATTCTATCTATTTGTATCCTTATACGTAATAGAACCTTTTGTATGACTCGTAAACTGCGCACAAATTAATTATGATGTTGCTCAGACAATCTACCGATTAACCTTAAAATCTAGTTGCTTGGAAACTAAGTAAATATTTTTAGAATGTTACGGTATAAATATCTCGTGTTCAGGATTTATAGAGCATAAGACAATGTTCATTATAAATGTCAACGTTTCGTGATTACAGTCGAATCTTAATGATTCGAAACTTCAGAGGCTTAAAGAGCTTTAAATTCGAATTGGCGAAGTTCGAATTATCGAGCTTTAATTGTTTATGCAGTTGACTATTCCTAGTCGAAGGCATGAGATTCCGACTCTGATGCTTTTAAAAAAGGATATTTTATTAATTGGCATTTCTAATAAGCGTTCTTTTATGTCTCAAAGGATCCTCTAGCACAAAGAGAATTATTTTATTAAAAAATCGTAGTACTGGTGAGCGGTGTATGGAGAAAAAAGCTCTTACTAATTAAACTACGCGCGCACGCGTTCTCTCTCTTTCTCTCTTTCTTTCTTTCCTTCTCTTTATCGATCATTCATTAAAATGAATCTTTTTTCACCTGGCATTAGTCTTTCTCTTCGAAAGAGACTTGCGCGCTCTCTTCATGCTGTTCAAAAGTCGATAAACAAGACCAACAATTTGCCATTCTCATCAATGATTAAGACCGTCGTCGCATTGTACATACACGGGGCGCGCAAACAGACTGACAAACGAAACAACAAGGAGGCTATTTGCCAGGGCAGCACGGCCACAAATAGAGTGAGTGAGAGTAAACGTAACGTTATTTTGCAGGATGGCGGTACGAAGGCCTGCTACCGGTCGGTGTTACGCTTCGAGCGAGTGCAGCGATCTCACGCAGGTGAATGGATGCTGCTGGTGCGCTCAGCTGAGGGTAACTTTGCCGATGCCACCGTCTCGCTCAACGTCACTCTTGCAGCTGGTTACAGCCACGCCCATGTCACACAGCCGAGTCTCATTGGCATACTCATATGTCTCGGACTTGTCAATATATTTAGGCTTCGAAATCCTGTCTGAAGCTTACGCTCATGATCCTGATCTATCGCGAAGGTCTCGCTCTCATTTGCTTCTTTTCAAAAGGCTCTGATACTGTTGTACATATGTCGGATTGTGTGCCAAGCGTTTTCGAGTGATAGATATGCTTCACGTGCGTTCTGATGCATGATGATGTTATTTTTTATTGATTTATTGACAAAGAGCTGATCAGTCGGCTCTTTATTGCAAGTTAGCGAAAGTCTAAATCAACTGATTTTCGAGTGAAAGGTTTGAAGCTTACTCAGCGGGTTACAAAAACCAAATTGTGTATGTATAATAATTCGTTACCGTATTCTAGAATTATTATTGTGGCATAGCAGTTGTATTATAATTTATTGTACCTTAGACTACATTATATTAGAATATGATTTAATGGATTTTATATTAGTGATTTGTCAAATGGAATTTTCGACGTACAATTTGAAGTGATCGAATATTGATTGAGAATTACCCTTTCACATGTTGCAACGGTTACGATTCTCCACTCTACGTAATGAATTTCTAATTGTAACCATGATGGCATTCACATTCGAGGTTGTCGACGAAAAGCCCACCGTGTTTCTATTACTTTATTTATTTGCAGCATCAGTGATGCAATTTAATTTCAAGTCATCCGCGCCACTGCTGATGCTCTCCTTTAGCTAAAATCGATTTGCATTTATCGTATCGCCCGGCAGCAGCACAGGTGTATATTCTTATTTTGCGAGAAAAAGTAATCAATTCGACAAGCTATATATATATATATATATATATATATATATATGTAATCACTCACCCGAGAGAAAATTACAGTCAAGGTTGAATGGTAAAAGAAGAGATATAGATAGAGCTTCACGTTCAATAAGACGGGATTATTTGGTTAATAAATAGCTTAACGCGGTCGATTTATAGCTACGTGGAAGTGAAGAAGAAAGACGTTTTTCTTTTTTTCGAGAGGGAGAGAAAGCAAAATCACAGAATAAGAGAGAGACTTTGAATCTTCCCATTAGTCTCCACCCATATCGGAATACCACGTGCACGCTCGCGCGAAGCGGATTAAATTTGCCAGCGGCCGTCAGCGTTCTTGGCTGATATAATTATCGCGTTGTCGTCGTTGACGTGGGTGGGTCTGCTGGTGAATCCGAGAAATTCACGTACGCAGCGGGAACGTAAAGTTTGTTGGGGTATCGCCATCATTGTTGTGCACGCGACAACGAACAAAAAGTACTCGAACAGGGGAAAAAAAACAACGTATATTGAGCAATGTATATAACTGTATAGAGTCGAAAAAACAACACTAATAATAATAAATAAATGAAAAAAACCAATTTGTATGTAGTTAGAAAAAGAAAAACGCCAAAAGAAAAAATGCAGCATTTTTATCTCGTCGATTTAAGCGATTCCGTTTTTCTTTTTATCCTGTAGGCTGATGGATTCGTCACAGTGGATGAATTTATTGTATATTATCCTGTGACGCATGCATGTGAGGAGAGAGTGAGAGAAAGAAAGAGAGAGAGAGAGAGAGAGAGAGAGTGAACGAGAGAGAACGAGAGAGCTGCTATAGAATTTGTAATGTGTACATAGTCGGGTATAGCGCGTGTGCGCGAGCAAAGCACAAGCAAAAGCAAACACGCCATAGCCGCATGACGAATTATAAACAGCAACAACAACATTATGGAAAAAGATGGTACATTACTATTGCGAAAAAGATAAAAATAAGAAAAGTATACATATTATACATACGGTAACGATTACACACTGTTAGAGAATAACACATTTACCATTTGTTGATATATTTTTATAAAGTTTTATTTGGCGACGCCGTCCCGCGTCGACGCACCCGTATGACACGCGTAGACAGTGATTTCTTTATCGAGGGAGATCGGCTGGCAGCAGCGGCGCGCACCATTTGCTTTTATACATGCGCGAGAATTTGATATTGTTGCGGAAACTCATTTAGCTCGTGCTGCAGACTGCCAGTGTCCGATATTAGAATTGGACACTGGCGTGGTCATCTAATTACAAGTTTCGACCGCGAAACTCTAAGCGACGTCGCACCCTGCTGTACGGACGGATTAACACCATCCTCTTTACAACTTTTTCCATTGTTAAACTTTTCTTTTTTGTTTTCTAAATTGTGTTTTCGTGCTATTTCACTAGGCACACGTAATGCTGCTGTTGTTTGACTCTTGGCTCATCATTTTCGGAAAGTTAGTAGGCACAGTAGGATAGTATGATGGACGTTTCGGAAAAGATATTGAAATGTTGACGGTGGCGAATTCCGGAGTAGTTGTAAGGTTATCAACAACTCGATTCGCGAAACGAGTTGGTGGAGTTTAAGTTTCGCAGACTGCTAAGAAATTGCATTAAATGTTTCGATAACTTTTCCAGACGCGAGTGCGCTGCTGCGAAAAAAAGTAGTATTTACGAGAGCTCTCGTAGCCGAGATAACTCGAGTCTTTGATCCTATTCAACTTTGGCTCCGGTTTTTGCCGGATAATTCTCGACGAGAAAAAAAAAGAGACTCGCGGACACTCCTAAAAACTTTCCTTCTGGTAATCAAATTACTTGGCATTTATCTACTTAGCGATCGGCGAACTTCTTTTTCAGACGCGGGAGAGTGTTTGAGTCCAAGTGTAACCGTCCCTTATCCTTTTCAATGCGCATGCGTCAAAGTAAAAAAAAGATAATTAAAAAAACATGAGAAACGTCTAAGATTGTTATCGTTCATTTTTTAGTTGTAATTGTATAGTTACGTAGGCCAAAAACAAACTCATTGTATTAATCGTATATTATAGAACAAACAAATGTTCCACTGGCATAAGAATTATTTACATTCTTTGTTCATCGTCTTGATAAAAATACAGACGAATCAAAAGCTTTACAAGTTTTTGTAATTAATTTTTATAAGCGGAAAATACCATTAAACGATACATAAGATATATTAAAACGAAAGCCTATTAGGATATTAAATATAAAATATTCGAAGATAAGTACAACATTTAAAATGGGCTCTGTGTTGAAGAAAATGAATTTGCCAAAATGTTTTGATTGTATAAGAAAGCAGCTTTATTCATTAATGATGAGAAATAAAAGAAAACGTGTAATATCGACGTGAACGTAGCAAAACCTAGCGATCTGCGCGTGGAGTTGTGGTTTTTTTTTGGCAACGTACATAATGAAAAATGAAAAAATGGAAGCCTAAATAATTCAGTTATCTTCTCCGTGTTTCACTGTTAATAAAGCGCAAGTCAATTTGTATATAAAATAAAAATAACACCTGTAATGATAATAAGAAGAAAAAAAATAAACGTGTTCATTATTACACATTACTCCCCTTGTAACTTATGATTACTAGGATATATAAGCATCATGTGTGCACAAACAAAGTATTTATGAGAGTATAGTAGGCGAGTTTAAGCGAACAAAGAAAGAAGAAAAAAAAGAAAATTAACGTGTCACGACGTAATTAAATAGTTGAGCATTGTTACAATTGTGCCAGAATCGTTTGTTATCGACTGATTTCATTATCTATTTTTGTAAAATCCTATTCTTCCTATCTCTATCATAACTCTCGTTTTTTATTTCGCCACACATACATCACAGTCATACATCGTCACCACCTTCTTTGCGTGTAATACACTATCGAGCCATTAATTCTAAGTTCTAAGCCGATAAACAAAAGAGAGTAAAACGAAACAAAGGCTATATATACTGTAACCGACGTTCTCCATCGTACTCCAGTGTATTCTAATTTAACCAAACTCGAAGAATAAAGAACGTTTCTTTCTGAAAATCATGCTTATATGTCTCTGCTGTCCTTTTAAACATGAATTTCCTCTCGTGTCCTTTGGCGGGCAAGTGTGCTTGTGAAACGTGTCCGAGGCGTATTAAGCCAAGTCCACGGTAAAATCAAAGATAAGCCGTAAAGCTAAGGGCGGCAGCAGAGAGAGAGAGAGAGGAAAAGAGAATCGAGCTTAACTCTACACAGGCGAAAGTTACGATGAGACTCGAGCGCCCCATAACTTCGCAGCGAAACAAACTTCATGTAGCGAGACGCTTACGAGCCAAGTAAACTGCTCCAATTTTCGCGCGAGCGAAAAGCCCGTCGGGATAACTGATGCTGAATCGTTAAGAGGCCGCTGCCACCGCCGCTGTTGTGCTACGTGTTCTTGCGCTAGAGCGCGCGCTCACTTGTTTTTAATTGTTTGCCCGGCCGCTCGATTTTCCGACGCGGAAATATTGGCCCTTCTCTCTTGTTCAACCTTGCATTTCAAGTTTTTATTTTACTTTCGAGGGCTTATTTAGATTTTTACGTTTTACTTTTCTTTTTCGTTCTCGCTTTATTTGGCTGTGTTTACAATATGAGTTTACCCTCATTATCGCAGTTGATTTTCTTCCGAAGTTATAAGTAGTTCCTCAAACTTTCTAGAATAACACATTTGTAAACCTTCATAATGTTTGTAACGTTTAATTGGACAGACAAACTTAAGCAGATTTTGCTTCCTTCCTTTTCGCTTTTTTTTAATTTTTTCAATATTTTGCTATATTTTGGTTTTTTCTTTATATGCTTTAACCTTAGAATTTTTTTTGTAAGATCTATATCTATTGTATATAATTAGAACAAAAAATTATAATATTCATTACACAAATCTTTTTTCTATGACGTCTATCGGTGTGTGCGCGTGTGCATGTGTGTAAAAATAATTTTTATAGTTATTTTTCAAAATAAGAAATTGTTAAATTAAGGTAATAATGTATATGGAATCACTATATACGAATTGCTGTGATTTTAGATTTAGATTGAATTCTTTAATATGTTTTAAAATTTTAAAGCTTATAAAAGCAGGTTCGAAACAAATCTGTTAATCGATATTTTTTGTGACATATAGCTCAAGTTATCTTTTTCAAAAGTGACTACTTTTTCATGCATGTATTTTTGCGATTTAATTGAATCACTATACATAAATCGCTGTAATTATTGATCAAGAATATTTTTTTAACGAATGAAGGCTTAATTTAAAGCTTAAAAAATCAAGTTTAAATTAGGTTGTCGCTCAATAAATTCTATAATATGTAAATTAAGACATTTTTCTTTAAAACAATTCTTCTTTTTCTAGTCTTTTTTTTGTGATATGTAAGATTTTTGTTTTTGTTTTGCTAAACGTAATAATTTTTGGTTGTTTAATGGGATTCTATTTATTGATGTATGTAAGGCAATCTAAAAATCTGTGATTTTTTAAAAAATACTCGAAGACTGATTGCATGAATATTTTCATAGTCTTTTAGATATATATGTAACAATAGTAAGAAGAAATATGATAGCTGATAGATAGAGTATATTTGATGCTGAACTTGTTAATAGATCGGAATATTTCTGTCACTTCATTTATATATAGAAAACTGCAACCAAAAGATGAATTAAAATTTATCTTCTATATGAATGATTATTAAGAAATAGATGTATCTACTTAAATATGCCTATTAATTTTTTTTATATTATATTATTATTTGATGATGATTTTATGCTTTATGTTGTGTGACTGTAACCCATCTGCATAATCTTTAGGCACTCTGGTGTTAAATAATTACTTACTATTTCTCGCAGTGCATAGATTGAACTAATATTTTAAATAGATAGTTCAGTACGATAGATTAGTAAAGTCAATTGAGCAAAATAGCTAATAATAGATAGAAAAAGAGATATTTAATAAGAATAACGAATAATCAAATCAAAGATCGTATTATATACTTTCCTGACAAACAAAAATTAACCAAAGTTGAATTAACAAAATATTGCTATAATTAAAGAAATGTAGATTTCATAACTCATTACTTAACAATCTTCTATATTAAATAACGTAGGAATCATAAAAATTTGTCAAAACAAATTTATACAATTATAAGAACCAATACAGCTTACTATTCACATACTTCGTAATGAAGTTACAATTCAAAGTTTTTATAAAATATTATGATTCTTAATTTGAAAGATAATGAAATGAAAACATTACTCAATCACATAATATATTATCTAACATAAGATCATAAATTAATAAAAATCAAAAATTTATCCCAATGTCCAAGCAAGAATTCTGCCACAGCAGCTGGCAGCCTTTTTTATTTCGATTTCAGTTGTAGATAATAATAATGGTCAATCATAGTACTAACTTGATCGTCAATTGTTATTACTAAATTGCTTAATATACAAATCCAATCATCTTTTCTATAAGTAATCAGTTCGTTATTAATTGGATATCTGTCATCGAATAGTGATATACATGCACACATCGGTTGATATGTATATAGCTGCACAATGATTGAACGTTATATTGATTGACTGGATAAAACTTTGTATCCAGCTGATTGACAATTACGCGAGATCTAGATCAGTCATTAGTATGAGATGATTGTGTACTGCATTTATTAAGTAACAAAAAGTTAGTAATAAGAAAATAAGTTTCACTAGGTATAGAATAAAAATATATTGATACCAGACGAATTAATCAAATGAATAACTTTGCATTTCGTTATTTCAATGAGCCAACATTTTAATAAAAGCCATTTTCAAATTACTCATTTGAAAGAAATCGAAAGTATTTTGTGACGTAACCGCATTTTGTGTAATTAATCATAATGAGTACATAGCTTGCGATGAAATTATCGTTGTCGAGTAATGAGTTTTTCAACTAGGAATAAGCGAATTTACTTAAAAAAGAAGAAGAAGAAGAAGAAGAAAAAGAAAAAGAAGAAGGAAAAAAGAAAAATTAGAAAGTTGGCGCAAAAGCCAAACGAGAATTTTGAAACCACTGTACACTTTTCCATTAACTTACGCTACCATTACTCGCCGTATAAAACTCGAGCGTTAACTTTGACTTCGGCGCGAGCTCGTCGACTTCTCTGCCTGCTGTCTCGTCGTCTGCGGCCTATGCATAATGGATATGCTCCATTCCTCGTTGGCCGCGCAAGCGCGGTTGTCTCAATCAGATTAATGGCACCAATGGCACTTTTCAAGCTCTCGCTCTTGGATTAAATGCGTGCGCATTAAAAAAAGCTATTTCAGATATACCATCGTCTTCTCTCTGTGTAAGTACAATACTGCGAAACTGCAAATGGTGCACTACTGAATTTTCATTTTTTCTTCTCTTCTTTCTTTTGAAAAATGCAACGTTCCCTTCTCTTTTCTCTTTACCACTTGAATTTCCAACGAAGCTTGTGAAACTTAATTTATTTTTGTTAAAAGTATTGAGAAAATTTTGCTACATTTTTTTTTCACGTGTAATAAAGTATTCCGTTTGATGTTGATTTAGCAAATTATACTGAAGGAACTCGTTTTCCAACGTCGCAGTTGCAGCAGAAGCTAAAGAAGAGCTATGAATTTTTCCCGTTGGCTGGCTGGCACATCAACTGACTGACGCGCGTAAGTATTCTCCGCCTAGAATTTTCCTCGGCAGAAACTTCCATTGAATATTTAGTAAGGCCAATGCGAAATGAAACACTATTCTTGCGAAAAAATTCTCCAAGTTTTTCAAGTTGGTCTTTGAATCACTGAATTGTGGTAACCATCTTATATACGTTAGACATGACGCCTTTCCAATAAAAAGTATCGTTAACCATCCGATCACATTTCCGCGGAAAAAAAAAATGATCGAACAAAAAAGCTGACATCAGAAGCGAAAAGATTATTATCTAACACTGGCTGACACTGTAAGTCATTTCGCACGATGGTATATATTATATAGAATGTAAGACGTCGAGAACATAAATCACGCTCAAAATATCGATTACTCCCAGTGTGATAAGTCCCCGAGAGAGCAAGCCCAAGTGAACAATAAGTCTCGAGACATCACGCGCGGCTAAGGAACTGGAAGAAAGCAGGGAAACTCGAGCACACAGTAAAAGTGGATAGAAAAAAAAGAAGAGTCCACGTCAGTTGTGTAAGGTTGGAAGGAGAAATCCTTCTCTTATTACGTCCTTTGTTTGAAATCAAGTTGAGTCGGTAATTAACGGGTCTGCTAGCTGAACATAACCGCTGCGGAGACAGTAAATTACTCGCGTACGCGGGGAACTTTCCTCAGCTCGCCGCAGGAGCGAGAGAGAGAGAGAGAGAGAGAGGCTAAAAATTACTGAGGAAGCTCGAACGCTGCAACTGTAGCCCCTCGCTCGAGGTCATAACTCTCGTGCTATCTGCTGCGAGAAGCTGAATGTTCCTTATCCTCCGTGTGCGCGACGTATATATCCACTCTCTCTCTCTTTTCGTCTCGACGGAGAGTTTTGCGGTCGTCGCTCGCTCGTCACTTATTTATTTCGCACATTCGCGCTGAGACAACTACTATTGCTGCAGCTTCTTGACTCGGGGGCCGGCGACCCTTTTGACATTGTCACTGTGCGCAGCGACTCCGGCCATCAACTTTTAAGGTAGACTGAAAAGACTGCGGGTAATTTGATGGTGGAAGCTTCTTCTATATACCGCTTTCTTCACCCCCTCCCCCTCTCGTGCTCGCTCAGTTTATTTTGTAGTTTGCGTCCAGGGTATTTCTTCTTCTTCTTCTTGTTTCAATCTTTTTTTTAAGTTGACGAGGGTGACGCGCGAGAGAGGGAGAGCAAGTGAGCAAGGGAGAGAGAGAGAGAGATAGAGAGAGAGAGAGAGAGATAAAGTTTGATAAAAAGTTTAATGACGAGTCTTATCAAAATTCCCCTAGAGATAAAGGAGCAATATGAAGGCAGTTTAACAATTTATTAATGCAGTTAAGACTGATACTTTTGATTTGAAAACAAACGA